CACAATCCATTATCATTTTGGAAGCATTATTATCAGTGCAAACATGCCCCGAACCTTGGACTTCTTTTTTTTTTTTCCTTTTTTTTTTAATTTTGCTATTTTTTACATTCCTCTTGCATTCAGATTGCAAAATTCCCTATCTCGCCAATGAGATCTCCTCCTCCTCACCAACCCAAAATAAATTAGAGAACAAGCTGCTATCTCTAAAAGCTTTATAAATAAAACATATGGCACAGACACACACAAAGGCTACAATTTTAGAGTACTTCTGCATTCTGGATAGATTTAGAGATGTCATTGCAAAGGCACAGACGCTGCCAGTCACAGGAGCTTAACAAGTGCTGTGCAGTTTGACATCCCWTCCAAACGTGGCCTTTTGTGGCCGTGGAGACTTCCTAGGGCAGCAAGTCATATACCAGTTGCTTCTACCAAAGCAAGAAAGTTTTGGTAACCRCACCAATAGTTTTATCACATGATGAAACTAAAATTATTCTTTCTTGGTTCAGCAAAAAACAATTATGACAGTTTGAAAAAAAATGCTAAAAGTTTTCTGGAGGTGGCTGAATTGCATCAGTCAGAGTAGCTGGGGGAAACATTTGTTTTCTTCTTTACTTTAAAGAGGAAATGCCGCGATTGAGAGACGGGACATAGCTTGATGCAAGCAAAGTGTCGACTTTATTGTTGTTACACACACGTTTTATATAAATCAGAAGGTAGTGAGGAAATATTTCTCCTTTAAAAAAAAAAAACATTTTTTTCCTTCTCTTTCCCAATAGAAAGAGGTTAAATATGAGGAGGAAAAATAAGAGAAAAGAAAGGAGGTCCAGAACCAAGGGAGCTTGATTTTCTAAAAAGCTTGTGTTGATTTTTGACTGAATTATGATAAAGCTGCCATCTAGCCCTTGTCTTGGAGGTAGCCGGAGGGGCTGCTGTGACCAAGGAGCAGGCTCCAGCAATTTCCATGGTGTTGAACATAACACATACGTYGACTGAAAGCTTTGCATGGCTTCAAGCCCTCTTTATGCTCACAGGGACTGAAAAGGAAGAAAAGAAGGGGGAGAATCTCTCTATTTGACTGTGACTTAACCAGGTAACGTGGCCAAATGAAGCGAAGCAAACATAGGGAGTCTGCCTCTGCCCATCTAGCGTGGCATTTGGCCCCCAGATGAGACCACGGGTGCTCCCAGAGCAGCAAGGGCTCGGAAGAAGCTTGAAAAGTGCCGTCCTAGCCTGAGTGGCCGCAGGCTGCTGCTTTATCCTGTGAAATATGATGCACACCAACCTTGCAATATCCTTGCCTGGAGCTATGGATTTCACCATGCACACGGGAGCCTGGTTTCTGGAGCACACTAAGCTCCTGGCCTCAGCAAAGTCCCACAGACAGACAGCAAACAGATCCTATTAGATGTGTTAACTTCCACTGAATTTCCCCTGTTCTTGGAACAGGAGAAAGAGCAAAGGACACTGAAGTGACCTTTTACATACAGCGTTTGGTATTTCTGCACCATTGCCCCAGACTTGTTTTGTTCAGCTTCTTTCCAAATATAGCAGAACCAGTGTCTCTTCATAGAAAAACCCTCCTCTGGTGTCTCTCGTGTGACTTTTACCTCTTCTCACTTCTGCTGTGCTTTGCGGGTCTGGATTCACCCGTCTGACTCTCGGTACCCACCTGCTGTACCAACATCAAGAGCCTCAATTCCCCTGGCTCCTTTCCTAGGCAGACAGGTCCAACAGGCTCCTGCTGGTGGGTCGAGCAAGGGGTAAATCCCCCTCTCTGCCCAGCCAGGACAAGTGCAAAGAGGTTGGAGCACACAGATAGCTTTAAATATAGCGCTCGTCTTGTCACTGCAAGGTAGTTTAAGGAGCTGTCTCTTACCACCTCTCCTAAGCCACTTCTTACTAGCTATTAGTTATTCCTTCCCAGGAGAGTCCTGCAGGGACAAAGCTGTGGCTCTGCCTTGTGCCAAACAAGCAAGACTGTCAGGCACATGTCCAAGACGAGCAGTAAGTGAAGTGACAACAGGCAAGGAACAACAAGGAAAATCAAGCTGCCTTTTTAAATATGATTCCAATGATTCAAGAGAGTCATTTTAGTAAATTCACTGATTAAAAAGTTAGCTGCTCTGAGCACGGTGCAGTGGGTAAGAGCTACAAATCCTCCATTTCCACTTGAARAACATTACTCAAAAGAAGAGAGAATTGAGCTTTCTATCTTCATTAGCAAAAAGGCCTTGCAAGAAACTGCAAATGCCAAACATACCCCCTCTCCATCATTCTCTGCTCTTTTCATACACCAGCCCAGCTCCCTAATCTGTTACAGCTGCCAGTCCTTTAGTTGTGAGAAATATTTTTAATAAGCATTGCTGAATGTTACAGAAACATTGGAAAGCAACTGGAGACCAATTAGGCAGCCTTATCCTGAAGCAGCAACATGTTGCTGCTTCACAGGGAACACAGGACAGGCAAGTGATAACCAGCCACGGGATTATCACTGCAATGCACCAACTTTCATTAAAATTGATCTACTCTACTCAAAATAAATCCTGAAGCACAACTAGTGCTTCATCTTATTTACAGTCAGAACTTGAGCATCAGCTGGTGGTGACAAGACGATCACTTGAAGATAATAGAAGAATATGGCACTAATTATATAAACTCCTAGGCACAGATATCAATGGGGTCAAAATCCTCACATCTCCAGAGTTCAGGAGTATATGAAGGGTTTTTTGGCTGGTGTCCTGCTCTCCCTTTAGGAGGAAATCAGAGAAAGCAACTGATGCAGCACCCTACCATCTTCCCTGAAGAACTGTGCCCAGGTTGGTCCTCCTGGTCCCCTGACCATGGTTTGCTGGAGGATGCAGTGGCTGCTCTGCAGCAGCCTCTGTTCTGTGATTTCAGAAATCATCTCTGGATATCTCTCTCATCTTCTATATAATATAATAATATATAATCTCATATATAATTCAGTTCATTAAAAGACATAGCAGAGGGAGGCAGAAATTGCCATGAGACAGTTTTGACAAATCTYCAAGGAATTCTCAAAGTAGGCTCTGAAGCAGAACATGCAGTGCATGGTGATGCCAACAAGTGCAACAGTTCCTTCCCTTAACCCTGGAATGCCTTGGATTTAGTGAGCATCCATCCCAAGAATCCTATGCATTATTTCTAGACGTCCTCTAAGCTAAATTAAGTCCATCAAAAGCTGAAGTTTGGGCATCCCTCAATATTTTGTGTCTTTGCTGACACTGAGGATGCTGYTTTGACAGTGTATGTGACCATGATTATATCCTTTACCTAGACCTTCTCTATCCTTTACCTAAACCTGCTCATTGACATTATCTTGGCCTTCCTGATCTTCACTCTACCAGAGATACCCTAATAAAGGGTTAACAGCAGAGAGGAAACAATGTCCCAATAAGACAAGACAACGCTCTACATCTGAACTGCTTCCAACCATGGTGGAAATCCAGGAGAGGGTCTCAGGACTTTACTTGCCAACACATTTTCCTGTTCCAAAGAGAAGTAGTTTTCTTTCATGCGGCCTACAGACATACTCAATCAGAGAAAGACTGGCAGCTTGCTCTTTCTATCCCACCCATCTGGTATCACAGACGGTCCCTCAACAGCCATGTCCCAGAAGTGAACAGAGCATAAAGGTCCTCCACGTGGTCACCCCTGCACCCCTGGGGAACCCTGCCCTCTATGCCTTTACAAAGCACACTAGTGGGATGATGGTTTATAACATTCCTGTGTGTTTGATTCCTTCCTTCCATCTTAGAATGTTTTTCTGTTCTAAATGTTACTGCTACCCAAGTCATCATGATACCACTGGAAGAAAACTGCTAGGGGAAGCAACATTTTCACCATCACTCAGTGACTGCTGGCTTTGGTACCACCACCTTGACCCTCTTCCACTTTTGCGGAACACCTTACCACGGCAGCTCTCCATCTGGCATCTCTCTGATGGATCCTTTTTATCCCCAGCACATTCAGTCAAATACATAAATGATTCGACCTTCCTTTTTTGAGCTCTTCTTTGCCTGCTATTTCTCTCACACTGCCTCTTAGGCATGGACGCAATTCCCAGGAACGCTTTTAGGGAGCCTACGTTGTCCTTTCCTTGAAACCTTTGCATGCCAGAGGGCCTAGGTGGGAACTGTGGTCAATTAAATAGTGTCAGTCTTTCCTTGTTCCCTTCATTGGCTACACTGACCTGTGAAATGACTGACCTGTCATTTCTCATCTTAAGCTTAGGCAATAGGGCTATGATCCAGTCACCAAGGCCTAGCAAACCATCTCCAAGCCTGGGGCAGTCTGTGTGCACACTTGCCCACATGCTGTGGGCACAGAAATGGGAGGTAGATAGACTGCAAGTGTCCCTCTAAACTAAGTTAAATTAGTCCACATTTACCATGGTTAAAACCATATATATGGAGAGGTACCAGTGGATGATTGGCAATTTACTTCCTACTAATAAGTTGCTGAGGAGTCTGACCCCTTGACCATGGCCCAGAAGAGGTCACAAACTCTCGTTCTTCCATATTTCAGTAAGAAATGGGACCCAGTTCCCTTCAGGCAATCAAAATTAAATGGTGCTCTCGGGAGAGGCAAATTTCCCCTGACAAAACATTTGTGTTCCTCCTATATTACTTTCTTATCCATGAATAAATGCAGCAGGCTTATCTTTGATGCTCTGTGTTTACTTTAATAACTAGCATGAAGCCTGTATTTATTACCCAAATCCTGTTTTTAAATCTCACTCCTAGATAAAGCAGTAATGACGTGACTGCTCTGCTCTGATAACCCTGCAGCTCTTTTCTTTCTTTCATGAGGAGAAAAACTCAGCTTCACTCTCCACAGTGGACCCACTGCCGTTCTGCTCTCTAATGTTATTGTAAGAATCATTTGTGGTTGTCCCAAGTTTCCATTCTTCCTGGGAAATCAACACAGAGATTGCAGCAACTCTCCAGGACAGATGCACGTAGATGTAAGGTTTACATTTATTCAAAATAACGTCAGGGAGCTCTCTGAAAATGAAGGGGAGGTGGTGTGAGGCAAATGTATTCAAGTAGATTCATCCCTTTCTCTGCCCCCAAGAGGCAAAACAACAACTAGACTCCCACCTTCAGAGAGATGCTCACAGGTAACAGAAARCTGCTTCACAACAGGTATTTACATGGAGGATCTCATTAAGATTTCAAATTCAGATTTATGTATACTCTAAAAGTCTTAAGTAGAATAAAGACTCTGGTAATCTCACAACAATATAAGCTTGAGACTTCCCTTTGCTGTGAAAACTTACCTGCCTTGGGGAACAAGGATGTTCTCAGTGATTTGTGTCTGTGTGCCTCCACGCTCTAGAAGATGAGCGGTATTGTCTACAAACAGAAGAGACATTTTGCTTGAGGAAAGACACAGGGATGAAAGATGTTGAGGAGGGAAAAGAAAGCTTAGAAGATGTAAAAAGARAGAGAAACTCCAAAGTTTTCAACAGAGCCTCAACAGGCTTTTAAAGCAGCTGAAATTGTCCTTTCCTGGCTCTAATAACATGAGAGAAGAAATTACAGCTCCCAGCTGTGCACCAGATTACTTAGTCCACTTCCTCTGCTAGCAGAGTGGTCTGAAAGGTCAAAATATGCTTTGGACAGCAGCAACCTGGCTGTGTCCGAGCGGGGGCCTTGGCAGGCTCCGGCAGTGATGTGCACCCAAGGCTTCAACCGACCAGCTGGTCCCAGGCTTTGCATTTGGCCACATTTATCCGCCTAGAGCCCCAAACTGCTCCGGCGGAAGGGCTGGCAGGGTGGAAACAATCAGCAGAGCAGGATCAGTTGCCCCTTACAGCAGCACAGCTGGTGCCTTATCCTCCTCTGTAGATAGCTGCTCCCTCCAACACACCAGCGTGACAGCTCATGTAATCAGTCCCCTAAGCTAGTTTAGTCAAGCGATCTGGATTGCCTTTAAAAAAAAAAGCTAAATTCTTCCTTTTTGCTTTTCCTCTCCTTAACTCAGTTGATTTTGACTTCACACAAAGGTGCTAGGTGATGATACTTGCAATTAGATGGGCAGGTCTGGGGGAGCAGAAACTTCTGGGGGGAGATCAAGGACACAAAAGAAACCTGATACCATCTGGAGGTTGATGGGTCCCTGCCAGAGCCAAGCTCTGGGCCACACAGCTCTCAGGGCAACACTCCAAAACACTTGTGTTGGATGTTCTTAATTAAACACAGTTTGTTGCAGCTTTGCTTGGCTTAAGCTAAAACAGATTTTAGGCCAGACTGGATTAAAGAAGTGGTATCGCACCGTGCAAAGGCCGAGTCACCCATGCACTGCAACACCAAAGAAACCTTCTCACAAAATCTTTTTCYCCATCAGTGGCCAAGAATATTTAATGCAAAACAACAGGATTCTGAGAACAATAGTGTGGGTGTTTTCCAACCAAATACTTGGGTGCTTCTAGAAGCCCAGTGTGATGCCAATTGTGTTAATTGGGCAGCATGACCTAGAGACTGCAAGGAGATGCCATTGCCTACTGTGGGCTGCAGGGCAGCAGACTGACTTTCTGAAATTCAAGAGGTAGGTGTTTTTTTCCATAAGATAAGAGAGACTATCAACTTAAGAGCATGCTCAGGTGTTTCAGCCTAGGCTCTCCTATATTAAGAAAATCAAGTAACTTTTGCGTAGGTGGTTCTGACAGAAGCTGGCACATGGTGAACTTTGCAGATAAAGACAGCATTTAGTTGAATAAATGATAAACACATGTTTTTAAGAAGTCTTAAGGCCTGCAAATTGCAAACTTTACCAAAAGTAGGCCACATTCACTATGGACAGAAACTTGCTGTCTGCATTGCCATATTGTTTTGTGCCACGAGCAAAATAAACACTTCTTCACCAAAGAAACCAAAAACCCGATGGAGGACATGTTCTGGATGTCCTTGCAGAGGTTTGGGTTTATGCACTAGTAGAGTCACTACAGTTCACAAGAAAYGAACTGAACTATTTGAAAAAGATCCAAAGCTTTGATCTCTTGATTAATTTTGCCCAGATCAAACTTGCTGTTCACACTCCATCAGCAAAGCAATATCTGCAGCAAATCCATGGACACCAGGGAGGCATCCAGCTTCTGTTCCTGTTCTTCTGCAGGAGAACTACTGACTGCCCGCAGTGGAGAGTTCCCACAGAAGCAGGAATGCCTCACATCTAATGTTTATTACTCTCTAGATTTCAGCTGAGAACTAGTTCTTGTTTGGGATGATCTAGGAAAAACACATGAAGGATAAAACTGCTGCAGAATTTAAGTAGTGCCATTCAGTTTCTAAGGAACATAATCACCTTCATCCCTATTGAATCCAGACTGACTTTTTCATAAAGCACATAAAGCCTGGAGTTCATTTATTCAGTTAATATCCTCTTACCTRAGAGCCCACTGCAGAATATTGCAGAGTCATTTGCAAAGGGCATCCCTTTATAAAACATACTTTCACACCCATGTGACATTCCCCAGGACGTTACACAAAAAGACATGGGGACAATTTATAGGTCTAATCCTACCAGATGACTCACCGCTGTGTTGTTGTAAGCAAAATTCAATTAGGAGAGCTTGCAGGACCAGCCTCTGGGCTTGTTAATATCCAGCACAAAACAGCTAAGGTTTTGCTGCCTATTGACTGAGCAATCAAAGGACAATTGCTRCATGCAGCCGGAGTGACAGATGAAGAGCTTTACAGTTCAGGAATGGAGGAGGCTGAAAAATAAAGGAACAAGCTGAAAGGCCTTCATCAACCCAACAGATTACAAGGCTCCGAGCATGCCAAGAAAACTKCACTATTACACTTACAGGAAATCTTTCACACATGACCATACATGACATTCTGCTTGCCTGCTGCTAATAACAAACAGCTTAACCGTCAATTTTTGCAGCCCTCACAGYTGTAGACTCTGCATGACAAGCAAGATTTATCTCTTATGACTATGGCTAAGTGAAGAACTCTTAATATAAGCTGCCTACACCGAAATGTCTCRCTGAGGCCTCACATACATCACTAAAAACCCTCATTATCTTATGCATATTGTTGGTGCTCTGCTCCAGGAAGCACCAGCCCTTCTCCCCAAAGTATGTCCTTCACTCTACAAGTGAGAGGTCTCCTATTCTGAGGCTCTAGGAGAGGCAGGTTTATAAGAGGTGGGGAATGGCTTCTGAAGGTGGGTCCCAGTCTGCAACGTGAGCTTAGACTACATCTGCTYGACTGAAGCTGGAAGAAACATTTCCCTCCAAGTAATCAGGACATGCCATCACCCCTAATAGTTTACTGTCACCTAAATCCCAGGAGAATCTGGGGATGGACCTAAGCCATGGAGGGACACTTGGGTGAGGGAAATAGCAGAAGCAGGGCAAAACTTTTTCCCTTTTTCCTCCAAGCTCCAACACTCATTCAGTTCCCCAGCTAGAAGCAATATTAAGAGCCCTGGCACAAACATAGCATTGGCCAGGCCTGTCCAGCCAGGYCAGGCTATTTTATTATATCCAGCCTCTTTGTACCCTCATCTTCCTGGCTATTGCAGAGAGGCTTTTATCAAAGCCATTAGGATCTGACACAGCTCAAACACTACATGTGGAAGTTTGAAGTAAAAGTTGGTGCCACAGTGATGGGAAATTTCAAAAATAAAATGAAGGAAACAGCCCCCAAAAGATTTGTGACTATAATGAGGGAACTAGTGGGACACGGGCAGAGTTGMTGAAAAGCTCACATCCATAGATAACAGGCAAAGAGCTGAAGCACTGTGGCTAGAACCTTACTGGAGCCTTTTCTAGGCCCAGGTTTTGCTGCTTCCAAACCCTTGGGTCCTCTGAGTGCAGAAGCCAGGAAATTACATTTTATACCACCATAAAAATTTGCCTCGTGTCAGGAGCACTTGGGGCACCGAGGCTGATGTATGGCTGATGTACTCCAAGAGCCAGCAGCACTGAATGGCAGCAGTGATCTCCAGGAGCAAGGCCGGGGTCCAGGCCCAGCAGCTGACRTGGAGACAGTTAATGTGAGTTTCAAGGGCAGCCACTTGGGAATCCCGCATTTTGGTCAACAGATGGAAAGTTTCATAGGCACTTGCAAAAGACAGAAGCAGAGAAAGAGAAAAAATCACCTCAAAAAGGCACTAGCCAAGCATTGCAAGCAGTTCTTTATACCTGCACTTTGGACTTGTGCTGCACTGCAACTTACCTCAGAATCAGAGGACTTGAACATCTATGAAGACTTGCAGCTTTCAAACAGTTAAGCAAGTGTCACTGTCACTGGATTCCTCCCTACAAGGAGGAATTAAGGCAAGGTTTCCAGTCACATTGCGGCTGGACAAGTAACATGGTCCAGAAGTCCCAATCTCTTATCCTCACTAGGCTCCTAATGTATCAAGCAAAGCAAATTAAACATTTGCTGTTYACAATTATTTACAAATAATAAAGTTATAGATAAAGTTATTTACTCATTAAACTTGTCTGTGAACAATTTCAAGCATTTCTCTCTGCATTTTTTTTTCTCTGAAGTGATRAACAGGTAACATTGCTTCTGTTTCATTTTGCTCTTTTCCTTCTTACAAACACATAGATCAGATTTTTTTCAGCTGCATTCCCGGTTGAAACTGTAAGTAGATTCAACAACAAAAATCATTMTATCATGCTATATGTTATATCAGATCTACAGAGATGATCAGATTATAACACCTTCCTCTGAAAGCCTCCATATTCTTAGAGCTTTATTTTTTTTTTCAGAGTGAGGGTGGTTGAAGATATGAGTTTATAAATGTAAAGTATCTTTTGCTCTTTCCCTAAAAAAAAAAAAAAAAAAGAAAAAAGAAAAAAGAATACAGTCAGCAAACACAAAGTATTTCTATACTGGTTGATATCTAGTAAAACAATCTGCAAAAAGTCCTTGACCTCAGTTGAACAACCTCTGAAACGATGCATGACCCTAAGTTTTACCAATTGAACAGTGGCACAGCCAAGATTGAGCCCACCAGGAAAAGGAAAAAAAAAAAAGAAATGAAAAAAAAGGGCCATTACTAGCAACTRACAACAGAAATGGACTTGAACGCAGAGGCAAGCTTTCCTTTATTGATCATCTTATCTGGAATTCAGCACCTCAGAGGGGAACAGAGAAACCAGAGATCATGCACTGGCTGTACAGTTCTCCTGCTATTGCCAGAYAGTGTTCCTTACAAAAAAGCCCATTTACTGTTTTTAATTTGGTGTCCAGCTCCACGGATTTCTTTAGAAGGCTTCGTATGAATGATTAGCTGGAAAATATACAATGGAATTTAAAACATTACTGTTTCAGTTATTGAAATAACCTGTGTTTGTTAGAATTTTATTCTTTTACACACCCTCATTAAGAGGACCTAAATGTCAAGCAAAAAGTATTTTCATGTATATGTTCATTTCGCCATCCAAATTTATTCACGAAGCAAAGGTCAGAAATTTGCTGAATTACAAGTGCAATTGTTTAGGGCAACTTAGTGAAAGCTGCACTCAATTTGTTCAGCACAGCACCCTAGAAGTTCCTGCAGAAAAATGTTGTGCCAGACGTATTAGCTCCAAATTGCATTATAAATTCATTTATAATTAAAACTGCCATTTCTATGCCTGCTGCCAGACCCCACATTCTGCTGAACAGGCGCACTGCTCCAGTCCTTACTGTTTCTGTGGTATTTTTAATTTTCATAATGATAAATT